TCATAACAACAGAGCGAACAGAATTAAACGTTTTAATCGCTATATAGCAAGCTTATAAAATAAAAATATATTTTGTATGTGCAGATCTCTGATTTTATTTACATTTTATACACACATTTTCGCGTATTAGCGTTTTTATTCTTAACATGCCTCTGTTATGCCTGATACCCCCTGGATATTTTTTCATAAACTATTTTGTCAAAATGCATTTTGTCGAGTCTTTACGGTTTCTATGTCTTTGCACAAAGCCCCCTTCAACCAATCTGGCAACGTTGCTGTGAAATTAGCCATTTAGCAAAATGTAAATTCTTTGATTTTCCATTTTGTGGTACTAGGCAAACAGAACGATGTAGCAGCTATATTTTAACACAAGGTTAAATTGAAATGCCTATAATTCAGCAATGCATTAACAGATTTTCATGAAACTATTACCATTAGTAAGGGGAAAAAGTGTAGTTTTTATAGAAATCGATAATTTAAAGAAATTGTTTGTGAGTAGCGAGAAAATCACGAGTGTTTGTGGACTTCCTTAATGCCATATAACTAGGGGAAATTTTGCAATTTTTGGAAAATTTTGGACATTTAGTTATTGTTGAAGAGATGGACAACAACGAAAACCCTTTGATTTGATTAAAACCCTTAAAATTGTGGCAGTATGAGGGAATTTACAAAGTGTCATTTAATTTGCAATTTTACTATTTTAAGACGAAAAAATGGAATTGTTCGATCGATTTTCAATAAATCTACAAAATTTTAGATTGTAATTTGTTTTTGATGGATTTTTGTCTTCCCTTTTAAAGTTAGAAACAAACCCCCTAAATAATGAAATAAAATGTGAACCACAACAGAACCCAATAAGGTATAATTTTGTTCTTGTTTTTTGGTACTAATAATTGTTCATTTCATTTTTTATTTATATTTTTAAATGTTGTTAATTGTTTTTTTATCTTTTGTTAGATTTCTTTCTTAGCAGAGTTATTTGATTTTCCATACACCAAAAAACCTTGCAAATGTTAGCTTGTTTCTTTAGTGAAACTTTTAGGTTATTTTTATTGATATTTTGACAATGGAAATGTTATTAATGTGTCCCTTTTTGCATCAATATATGACCAGTGGTCGGCGACAATTTCCTTTAAAAATCCGAATTTTAATTGTGTCCATAATTTTACAATTATAAATATCTATTCTTCATATTTATATAAAGACAAAATTAATATCAATACATGCTTTAAAATCCGCCTAAGACTCCTTAAAATCTGTCAGGACAAAGTAAGATCAATATTGTAAATTGTCTGCCACGAAGTTGAAGAGTTCGTCTAGTAGTTCCACATATACAGAAAAATGGGGCGAGATCAGTAGACAAATATCTACTTATAGCCACATTAGGCTATGTCCACCTATGAAAATATCTTAAATTGGATAAGACCTATATTCCATAGTTTCTGCAAAAAAAGACCCCTAAATGTCAACCGTTTAAAAAATACACATAAGTCCTACGTCAAAACGTAGACCTATTAAATTTTCGGCAAGGACATTTTTAAAAGACCAAGAACTGAAATTCTAATGCTGCGGTAAAAGTAGGAGAATTGATCAAAATGTTTAATTCCAAACACCCACAATGTATGTGAAAAATGTCAAAGCTTCACATTATCAAGTTTTTAAAAATATTGAACCTTTGAGTTATCACCAGTAGTGGACCGATAGGCTTCAATTTACTATGTGTGATGTTACTACTACTGACCTCATTTTTAAATCCAAACATCCAAGCAACAGTCGCAATGAATGTGAAAAACGTCCAAAATCTATTTTAATTATTATGATCTCTAACGCGTGTGTGATAGTTCCCAAAAAGAGTGGACCCATAGGTTTCATTTTCAGACTTAATTGGAAGAAATATTACGATAAGCTAATTTTGGATAAAATTTGATATTTCAGTCATATGATTTTTTTAAAGTTTCAAAAGTAGGGCCTCTTTATGTAACAATTACCAGCAGCGGTGGATCGATGAGAAGACTCTATCTTCGGTCTTGATTGGTGGAAAAAAAGTTTTACGAGTAAACTTCATCTCTTGCCAGAAAAAACTTACGCTTTGCAAGATGCTGATATTAGTCGTGCTGTTGTATGGAGCTGAAGCATGGGTACTTGCGCAAGCAGATGAGGCAGCTCTTGAAGTGTTTGAGGGAAAAATTACCGGAAGATCTATGGGCCGATCTGCGTCCACGGCGAATATTGTCGTCAAATGAACCATGAGCTATACCATCTATTCTCGGACATCGATATACTCAGACGGATCGAGATGCAGCGAGTACGTTGGCTGGCTAGGTCATGTTGGGAGAATGGATGATGATTCCCCCCACTCAAAAGGCATATAAAAGCGGGCCAAGTGATGGTCACGCAGAAGGTGTAGTCCACAAATCCGATGGAAAGATCAAAAAGAAGACAACATCTCGGAACATGGTTTTCAAATTGGATCTCGAATCTCGCACAGACCGACGCGCTTGAAAATCTCTTTTTAAGCTCGGCTTATAGAACAAACATTCTGCTACATTCTACTCCATTCACTTCTTAAAAAATGTACATGTTTTCATAATGTTGACCCTTTTGAGGGGGAGGTACAAAACAGACTTCACGACTATTCTAGTTGTGATATATGATGATTTGCAAAGTTTGTAAATTCAGAATTGATTTGATTCGAATATCTCTGATATTTTAAAATTTTCTTCAAAATGTTAACCAGATTTTTCTACAAACTATAGTTTTTTTCTACAAGCTATAACTTTTGAAGAAGTTATTGCGATGGGCAAAGTTTAAAAAAAAATCGGTTAGTGTCTACATTAGGAGCCTAAATAGATTGCAAAAGATTTAGAACGGATGATTTGCAGGACAACCAAAGACGCCATTTAGATGACATAAAGCTTCCAGTTTCGTCATATGATAGTTTTTTAAATGCTAAACATGGATAAAGGGTCTTCGACATCATAAAAAAAAAACAATAAAAGTGGTGGATAAAATCCATTCGTAACGTTTAAGTATGAGTTGGCGCCAGGCGCCACATCTTTAATTTAGATTTTTTAAGCCCTAACATTTCTACATTTTTGCCACAATTATAAAATTATTCTCTATAAAGTTATAACCACTGTTTTGTTTTTTTCTGCAATTTTCCTCTTGTCAACGTCAATTCTTCATGGTGTTATAGTTTTTCGGTATTTTATAAAATTGTGTATCCAGTTATAAAGCCTACAAGAAATAAGGCGGCGGCGACAAGTGAATTAAAAAAAACTAATGACTATACAACAAAATTTCAAATGATGGCAACGAATGATTGGTGGTGATCAAGGTTTATTCATAAGGTTAACAGGGAGACGAATTCAAAGTCTTCATTGACTGTCAGATATATTTTTTGAAGAATAAATAAAATATTTTTATTCGAAACAAAATATTCGTGCATATTCTTATCAATACGCCTTTTTTGAAAGATATTTGGACCTTTTATTCTGTTCTGCTTCCTATTTCGCTATTAAAAAGTTGACAGCAAGAGAAGACTAAGACATGAATTCGGCCTGCCGGTTAACCTTATGAATAAAACATGGTGGTGATGTTTGTTTGGTTGGCGACTGACTATTAATTGAAGGCCATTTACTTTTCTTCTTCTTTCCTCGTAGAACAAAAAAAAATAAAATTGGAAAAATTTAAAAATTATTTTTAATGGTTTTTTGTTTTTATTTATATTCCATGCGATTTTATGTTTGTTGGTTTTTTTTTTGTTTTATTTTATATGTATATAGTAATATATTTATTAAATATTTCAGTGTTTGCTATTTTATAATATATATATTTTTTGTTATTCAAAAACATTTTTGTTTTTATTTTAATATTTTCATTTTATACTTCTGTGTTTGTTGTTGTTTTTTCTTTTGTAGCTGCTTACAGACTAACAATGTATGTAATTTCATTCATATATCAGAGTGTGTTGTTTTTCATGTTTATTTCGGGTTGTTTCTCTCTTTTTCAAAAAGGGGATTATTAGTGTTTGGGGGGGTAGGTAGGTAATGTTTTTTTTTTTCTTCTTATCATTATACGACGACGAGTAGTTCAAAAGTGTTTTTTTGTTTTTGCCTTAGCTTTTCTTTTATATAATTTTTTATAAGATTTTTTTTTTCTCTTGCAGAAGGAATATATTCTCACTAATTTGAAAGTTCGCACAAAACTCTTATATGTATACCAAAATGAAAAAGAAAGAAAATATATGGAGAATTTTCAATTGAACAAAAAATCAAAGTAAAATTCTTTCATAGATAACTTTCAAGCATAACTTCTTCTCCTTGCCAAGGTAGTAGAACATGAAAAACAATATATAATGATAGTTTAAATTTAAAAGTAATACAATTATACAATTTTAAATTGAAGTTGTTTCGTTTTTTAGTTTTCTCATTCTTCCAAGCTGGGCCAGGCCATTCAAATCTCTAGGTATTTGTTTATGTGTGTGTGTGTTTGGGGGTTGGGTATTTTATATATATTAGATATTTTTAAGCTTAATCCAAATGAAAAATAATTATAATAATGAAAAAACTAAAAATAAACATAGTAAATGTATGCGGCGGCTTGTGTTTGTGTGTGGGGGGAGAAAGGATAATTAATTGTTCTTTTCCATTTTCTTGTTGCCATTATTTTTTATATAAACTTGTGTATGTGTGTATTTTTTGTTATAGAGGAAAGTAGCGCTTGCCATAATATTTTAAAATATTATTATAAATATTCATTCTCAAAGAGACTTGTTTTTCTGTTTTTTTTTTCAGCGACGGCGGCATTTGCGACGACGACATTATGTATCGTTGAGTTTCGAGAAAATTTGACGATTTCTAATTTGTTTTTTAGCTTAGCCTTTTTCGATTGTTTTTTAGCTTTGTCATATAACTGGAGGATACAATATAGTTGAAAAATGTTGTTGTTGCTGATTTTTATTATTTAATGTTGTCGTTTGTTATTTTGTGTGTTTTGGGGTACGTCTCCATTCACTGGCTAATCTTACGTTTGCATCATCAATTGGTCCAATTGCTAGTGGCCCAGGGCTAAAAATAGAAAACAAACAAAATAACATTGTAAAGCTCCTAGTTGAAATTGAAGAATAAAACAAAATACTTACATGTTTCTCATGGTGATCCCACAATTCGATCTTATCAGGCATATGGGACATATCATTACCACCGACATGGCTTAGAAATGGTTGATACGCTGTATATGTTGGTATAACATTCATGGCCTGATTTTGATTTAATGGTGGTATTGGCTGCATGCTATTGTGATAGTCCAAAGCCATCTGAAATTGACAAAAGAAAATAAACAATAACAAATTAAAAAAACCCCTATTAAAAATCATTAAAAAAATTTTTAATCCCTTCACCGTGGGTAGGGAAAAATTTATTTACAATGGAGTTTCCAGTTTTATTTAGACCTAACATTACTATACTGCAACGAATGGTATTGAAAATAATGCAGGTAACATTCGAATATCTCAATGTACAAAAAACGGGGTTACCGTCATAATGGAGACTATTCATAAATGTGGACCGATATAGATAATTTTTGGTAGGAAGATTTTTCAGACCTAATGAGAAAGCAAAATATCAAACTATAGCCAATACGGTTTGAACCCCAAAATTTTATATCATTAAAATACCGAAAAGTTCTTCTTCTTAGCTGGCTTGTGATAGAACTTTCGTTTCTTAAGCCGAGTTTAAAAAAGACTTCCAAACGCGTCGGTATTTTGCGCAGTTTTTTCCCATTTGAAAGATCATATTCGGCAATATTGTCTTCCACTTGATCTTTCCATCTTATTCGTGTTCTTCCCTTTTTCTGCGTGAACCATCAGCTGGTTGATACCATCAGCTTCGTCTTCTCGCCGTTTATTGCCCGACCCACTTTGGCAAACTCCTTCTCAATTTGTTCAAAGATGGCTGTTACCGCTCTCAATGTTAGGCGAGTAATAATTTCCGACTTTAACTGCTGATCTTGTGCCAGTTAAAGTTATCCTGCATAGCCAAATTTATTTTGCAGGAATGCCAAACGCAGACATGGCTTTATGCACATCTAAACGGATAAGGCTGTCGAATGCGGCTTTATAGTCGACGAATAGGTCGAATGTGTCGATGTGTTTTTCGTGGGTTTGTTTTTCCAGGTTTTCTTACCAGCATCTGACCACCTGTCTTGAATAGTTCGGCTGGTAACCAATCGGCTCGTGCTGCTTTATTACTTTTCAGCCGATTGATTGCTATTCTGACTTCATCTTAGCTAGATTGTATACACTGTATGCCGTCATCTATTATTGGTTCCGGGGTTATCCTCTTCGTCGCTATTATTTGATACCAAAAGTTTTTTAAAATGCTTCTTCCAGATCCTCTGCACGCTGTCTGTATCTGTCACTTAAATCTAAATTGTACCAAATTTAGTGCCATTTAGTACACATAAGTACTATACTTCCATATCGCAATTCCACACTCCAAAATTAATCATTATTTAAAATTTTATGTTTCCAGCTTTCTCCGTTTACCCAAATAACAATTTGAACATATTTAGTACCATTCAGTGGTTTTCGTACCCATAAGTACGAAATTCCAATACTGCCTTAATTCAATAATTTTAATTTCAAATTTATGTATTCCATCTCTATCCTGTTCACTTAAATCTAAATTTTACCACATTTAGTACCATTTAGTACACATAAGTACTATACTTCCATATCTAAATTCCATACTCCAAAATCAACCATTTTTCCAAATGTATATATGTAATATACAATTAGTACTAAATTTAGTAATGTTAAGTACTTTCAAAATTTCAAACTTCTAGCTTCAGCCGTTTCGTCTGGGCGATGATCTGGCAGTCACTCACTCACTTATCACTAAGCTACTAATAAAAAACATTCGTAATCAAACAAAAAACTTACATGATATTGATCTTGTTGATGGTGATATTCTCCCCCCAACCCAGCCATTGAACCAGCTCCGGCACCAGCTGGTGGTGCTGCTGCACCACCAGCTCCGCCATAATAACGATACTGTTGTTTCATCCAATTCACCTGCTGTTGCTGCTGTTGTTGTTGTACAGCAGCTGCAGCGGCCTGCTTCTCAGCAGCAGCTCCCAATAGCCATGGTGGTAGCGGACCAGCAGCTGTATGCATTGCTGCTGCACCTGGTCCAGCACCAGGCATACCACCGCCACTAGCCGCAGCTGCCATAGCGACCAAAGTACTATCGTCGACACCGAGACCGGCTAAACCGCCAATACTTATACCCATATTGGTCATATTTGGATAATTATTGTATTTCCATGAGGCTCGTTCAGTGCCGATGGGTCTGGGCATTTTACGCATATCCTCTGTGGACTGCTGTTGTTGGGTTTGCATTTGTTGTTGTGGTGTTTGCAATAACATGGGTGGATTGATGACATTAGCATTGGTACCAGCACCACCGCCGCCCTGGTTTGGCGACATGGCTGCCGGAGAATTTGAACCGGGTCCGGTTGAACCATTTTCCAAGTTCAATAGTTCTCTGGTAGACGGCGGTACATAACCACCCGGAGCAGCATAGTCGGCATACCAACGTTGATTTTGTGTTTGGCCAGCTTGTGGTTGAGACTGGGGTCTTTGAGGTGCTAGATTCGGATTGTGATTATGGGGTGGTTTACCGGGTGCGGCATTGAAGCCATTTCCCGGGCCGGTTGGTTGTTGTGCAGATGGGTTTTGTTGTTGTCCTTGATTCGATTGAGATTGTGGATGGTACATACCAGCAGCACCCATGGCCTGTGGACCTTGTGGGGGCTGTTGTTTATTTCCAGCTCCCTGTTGCTGTCCACCACCACCACCAAATACGGAGCCACGTACATTCATTCTTGCATTATTGGCGTTGAACGCTTGCTGCAAGACGGAAGGGTCCATGGGGTAGCCCATTGGAGCAGATACGTTTAATTGGCCTGTTGGATCGTAGAAACGTGGCTGTTCACCGATAGCCCCTGGGGCGTTGGTAGTTCTGGTAGATGTGTTCGATCCAATGGGTCCGAAATTATGATGATTTCCGATAGTGTTGTCACCTACACTTGTGACATTTGAAGGTGGTGATTGCTGGGCAGTTCCACTGCTACCTTGACGATGCTGTCCGCTGGTATTTGGTCTCTGTATTGCCAGACCGCTGGAAGGAGGTCCTCCTGGTTGAGTATTTCCTGTGGTTGGATTTGTTTGTTGCTGATGTTGTTGTTGCTGTTGTTGATTAGCGTTGGCGGAGGAGGGCGGTTTGATAACTCCTGGTGAAATAGCACTGGCATCAGATGGCGCAGCTGGCGATTGTTGATTGGCCACATTGGCAGAAACAGATGGAGAAATTTCATTGGCTATGGGTATAGCTCCTGGTGATCGAGCTGTTTGTACCCCAATAGGCGGCACTCCAGTTTCGGGCAATATAGTCAATGTCTGCTGCTGCTGGCTGCCAACCACCATATTCAAATTAGTGGTTCCTGGTGGTGTGGTGGAGAGGCTAGATGAGGCCTTTGAACTACCCACGGGGGAACTTAGGATGTTACGATTGTATCCGGGAGCTTTAGAAGCGTCGGCCTGAGGCAAATTGTCATTGACCAATTGATTGGCATTGGTGTAGACTTGTGAAGCATCCGATGTTGCTGTGGTAGTTCCCCATTGTGTTTGATGATAGTCGTTGAACAGGGAATATTCACTGCTAATTTTCGAGGCCAGTTGTGTGGCAAAGCTGCCAGATGAAGCCATTGAGGTTGAGACTGAGGAGGTGGGCACATCCACGCCCAATGGTCCGGTGTTGATGTGTAAATTCTGTGACGATGACTGATTGGCCATTGCAGCAGAGTTTCCAATGTGAGAATGCGAGGACGACGACGAGGTTTGTTGATGTTGACCACCAGTCATTTGTTGCTGCTGTTGTTGTTGGGCTGTGGGTGTGGGAGCTCTTTGCTTATTTGGTGGTCCGATGGGTGTAACGGAACGACCATGATTACCTGCTGCAGAGGAAGCACTGTTGTTGTTGTTGTTGGCCGCTGCTGCTGCAGCATTTGCAGCTGCCACAGCGGCGGCAGCTTCAGCTACATTAAATGTACCAATGGGACCAGCTAAGGTATTGTTGTTGTTGTTATTATTGTTATGTGAATGTCCACCGCCGCCTCCAAGGTTTGGAATGGTGGAACTAGGTACAGGTTTCCCGCGGCCATATGGAGCTGTTATACCAGGACGTTGTATGCCACCCAATTCGGATTTTTTCGTTGGTGACATATTGCTTACCCCAGGTACCGCAGATGATGCTCCCGTCAAAAGCTTGGCAGCAAATGTTTGATTGTTGATTGCTGTCGATGAACCTTTGCCGCCACCACCCGCCTGAGCAGATAACGATTTTTGGCTGTTCTGGTAATTTGAAGACAGAACCTTAGAATTAACATCCTTGTGTTTGCCGCCGCCTTGACTGGTAGAAAGTGAACCTCCCATAGCGCCGCCTCCAGTGCCACCAGGGCCTCGAGTTGTTGAGATTTGTTGTGAATAGAAAGGCTTGGCTGGTTGAGTACGATTTGTTGTCGATTTAGGACCACCGCTGTTCCCGACAATACCACCCTGAAGTTTAGCAGCATTGTTTTTGCCAGCAGCACCATTGCCAAGTGACTTGGAATTTGATAGTTGACTGCCAGTAGTCGAAGAAACCGAGGAAGCGGTCGACGATCCCGAAGACATATTTTGGGCACTGTTCGCGGCATTATTAGATGTCGCTTGTAATGCCGTCTTGTTGTCCCAGGTACCCACGTGCATTGTAGCAATCGATGAGGACATCGACGCTGAAGATGCTGGTGGAGAGGTAACTGGTGGTGGAACCACATTTGCCTTAATTGTGGTATTGATTCGTGGCAACATCTGCAAAATATCCACATCAGGATCCTTGATCAAGGCCAAAATCAACATGTGAGCTTGTTTTGTGGCCTCGGTTAGACCTTTTATGGTGATGCTGCGTTCCGATTGATTTTTGCCTTGCTTTTCGACTTCAATGTGAGCGCCGGTAGTGGCACGTATGGCATTAATGTTGCTGCCAGCACGGCCAATGACACGAGAAATGGCATTGACTGGAACTTGCACCTTCTTGCAAATCATTTCGGGCATTGTGGACGTGACTGTGGTTGTTGTTGATACACCTGGCACTGTAATGCAAGTAGACGACGATGATGACGACGAGGTCGATGACGAAGATGAATTAGCCGATGTTGTTATTGACGAACTATTAGTAGTAGTACTGTTGTTGTTTGTGGCAGAAGATGGAGTAGCAACCGTTGAAGTAACTGCTGATGATGGAGTGGTTCCTGCAGCAGACTGTTGGGCAGAACTTTTCCTTACCACCTCTTTCCAACCATCTTCTCCCCGTTTGGGAACCGATGCAGTATTTGGATGAGATTTATTAGCCGCACTTGTTGCAGTTGGAACTCCAGCTGTCGCATTATCTGCGATTTCTTTACGATCTTCGGTATTCTTTCCGGCCAAGGATTTACGATTTCCTCCTGATGTACTGTCTGTTGTTTTTGATTGCTGCTGATGTTGTTGCTGCTGCACTTGTGGCTGTTGTTGTAGTTTGTTATTTGTTCCAGATTGTTGTTGAGCCGTTCCTGCGGCTGTTTGTAATTCCTTAGGGGCCAAATTCTCTTTTTCTTTTTGTTTATTTGATTCCTTCTTGTTCTTGGTCTGATTACCACCACCAGCAGCTGTGTTTGAAACTGCAGCATCTTCCTTTTTGCTGTCCACTGCTGCAGCGTTGGCCTTCTTATTGTTGGCGCTATTTGCTGTTTGTGTCTTGGAGGTGGCTAAGGTGGCATTGGAATCTTGTGATTTTTTATTGCCAGCTGATGATTTTGAGTCCTCCTTCTTTTGTTTTTGCTGCGACTTGTTGTTAGTGGACGAAGGAACTGAGGCCGTTGCTGGTGCTGCTAATGAAGGTTCTTCAATTACCGGACTGCTATTTCTGGTATTTTGGTTAGCCTGCTGCTGCTTATTTTTCTTTTTATTCTTATTTTTGCCACCTGTGGCAGATTTTTCAGTACTTTGGTTATTGCCTGCGGCACCTTTGATATCGGTACTAGAGCAAGATCCTTGGTCAATGCCGGAATCACCTTCCTCTCGGTAATTGGGGGCATTTTGCTGTTCATCGTCTTCGTCGGCAGCGTTATTTTCTTCATTGTCGGAATCTTCTTCCTTGTCGGAGTCTTTGTCTTCATCGTCTTCCTGACTTTGTTGACGTTGTTTACGTTGACCACCGCTGGAACCGGTTGCCTCCTCCATTTGACGACGTTTCTCTTCCTTTTTCTCCATCTTCTTCTTCTTTTTACGTTCACGTCTGCGTGCAGCCGCAGCCCTTCGACTTTCTTCGCGAGAACGCTCCATGTCTAGTTCTTCCAAGAGAATGGAGGCATTTTTATTTGCCTTGACGGCTTGAGCTTCTTTAGCAGCGCGTATAATCTTCATGCAGTCATAACACTTTTCGGATAGTTCTTTGTCGCTTATTGTCGAAATGAAGCGATTCATTTCCTGATCCGAGGGGAATTGTGTGACATATTGGACCATCCACTTGACCACTTTGGTGTGACCTTTGCGGAAAGCAGCCATCAGGCAAGAAACACGACGATTATCCTGAGAATCTATATCGGCACTGTGGGCATACAATATCTCCACAACGCTCAGGTGGCCACCATGGGCTGCCAACCACAAGGGTGAATTGCCCTTCTTGTTCTTAACCTCGACGGCAGCACCACGTGAAAGCAACAGCTCCACAAACTTCAAATGTCCCTTGTCAGCGGCAATGGTTAAGGCAGTATCCCTAGAGGTGGGTACAGGGGCGGCATTGACGTCGGCTCCTTTATCTAGCAATACGCGGCCCACTTCTATGTAACCACCAGAGGCAGCTTCCATTAGAGGTGTAAGGCCGGTCTTGGCTCTGTGTTCCACATTAGCTTTGCGATCCAAAAGTAGGCTGACCACTTCATGTCTTCCCTGGAAGCAGGCCAGTGTAAGAGCCGTGTTACGATTAGTCTCTATCTGGGCATTGATATCAGAACCCTGATCTAATAGAAGTTTTACAGCTGCTGTGTGGCCATTCATGGCGGCCAACATTAATGGCGAAATACCCAGTTTGCTACCGGTACGTGAATTAATTTCAGCTCCATTGCTTAACAGCAGCTTAATGATGTTCACATAGCCTCCACTGGCGGCCAAGCTCAGGGGTGTATAGTCAGAGACATTGCGATGTTCCTTGTTGGCTCCAACACTAAGTAGTAACTCGACCACCTCGTAACGTCCGCCGGAACAAGCTAGGGACAACGGTGTGTCCTTGGTGCGTTCCGATTGGGCTTCCAAGTCAGCGCCATGTTTAAGCAAAATGTCAACGACCTTTTCGTGGCCAGCAGTTGCTGCCAATATGAGTGGCGTGAATCCTTTTTTGTCGCGATGTTCGATATTGGCACCACGATTTATCAACAGCTCCACTAGTTCTTCGTGACCACCAGCACAGGCCAATGTGAGAGCGGTATCATGATTGGAATCAGTTTCGGAATCAACATCAATTGTTTTGTCCAGTGTTGTAGTAGCGGCTACAGTCTGCTGATATTGTTGTTGGGCAACGGCATTTGCTGTAAGTAAAAATGAACGAAAAAACGAATTAAAAATCATATTTTGTCTGATACCGCGCAAATAACTTACCTTGACTTCCGGCTGCAGTACGTAACAAAGAATAACGATTACGTTCCTTGCGAGATTGTTTGTCGATAACTTTTTTCGCAATGCCACCGGGCATTTTGCTGCCGCCACTTCCACCTCCGCTACCTCCGGCACTGGTCGATGCTTGCGGTGGTGGTACAGAGGCATTTGCAACAACTTGGGTAAAAGCTGAACTCAAATTGCTTGGAGCTGTTATTTGTGGTTGCTGTTGTACTGCTGCCGCGGCAGCAGCTGCTGCAGCCACCGCCATTTGCTGTTGTTGCGATTGTTGTTGTTGCTGCTGCTGTTGTTGCTGGGGTGTTAAAGCACATACACTACCCAAACCGACATCAACAGTGGCAGCCATTGTCGATAAAGTTGGACAGAATTGATTGACACCCCTTGCCGATTGAACAGCATTTGGATGCGGAACAACAACCGATGGTTGTGTTTGAGTAGCAACTTGAACCTGAAAATGTAAACGAAGACGTGAAGAGGTAAAAGTGGAGACAATTTAAAAAAATATGCAGTAGATAAAAGAGCATGGGGATATGCTATCAAAAGAGTTAGCATCATCTCTTATCCTAAAAGAAATGTTGCGAACCGAAATACATCTTTTAGATAGATATTGTGGGTTCTTATCGAAGGCCTCAAACCCCATCTTAAATTCAACATCCACACATTTGTTTACAACTCCTTACCTGTGTAGACTGCTGTTGTTGTTGTTGCTGCTGTTGTTGTTGCAACAATAACTGTTGTTGTTTCTGTTTCAAAACTTGCTGGCTGAGTACTTGTTGGGCTAATGCGGCTTGTTGTTGTAACAACAAATTGCTTTGCTCCAATGTGGTTTGTTGCTGGTGCAAATGTTGTTCCTGTTGTTGCTGCTCCTGTTGTTGTTGCATTAGACTTTCGGCTTGCGACAAATCTTGCAACATCTGCTGTTCCTGTTGTAAAAGTTTCAATTGTTGTTGCTGTTGTTTCTTTTGATCCTGTAACTCTTGATGGTGCAGTTTCAAGTGCTGCAACTGTTGAGCTGTGGCAGCCACTTCGTCTTCCAATTGATGGTCGTGCTGTTGCTGTTGTAGTTGTTGTTGTACAGCAGGTGGCAATTGGAATAGTAGTTGCAGGGATTGTGATGGTTTGTCACCCACATTTACCGCACCACCAGCATCACCACCAGCTGTGGCAGCACTGCCATCAACATTGAACACAAAATTGGCATTGGCATTTGTGATGTTTTGCTGTTGACCATTTTGCTGCTGCTGCTGTTGTTGTTGTTGCTGCTGTTGATTGGCAGCAGCTGCAGCTACAGCCTTTAGGAGACGTACATTGGTTTGCTGTTGTTGCAATTGCTGTATGTGTTGTTTTAGTTCATGATCCAGACCCAAATGTTGATGCTGTTGTTGTAGCTGCTGATATTCAGCCACAGCATCTTGTGAAGTTGTCGATGTAGGCAGTGTTGGTTGCAATTGCTGCTGTTGGGCAGCAGCTGCTGCAGCATCTTCAGGTGAGAATGGTATCAAAGACAAAGTGGTTTGCTGATGTTGCTAAAATATAGAAAAAAACAAACAGACAGATGCGATTATGCATTGGGAGGGGTGGATTACGAATAACTTACCTGCATTTGTAATTCATCGGCATCGGCAAATCTTTGTTGCAATTGTTGCTGTAGCTGATAATCCAAAAGCAATTGATTGGCTTGTCTCTGCTGCTCATGTTGTTGTTGCTGCTGTTGTTGTTCATCTTCTTCGCCGGCGGTTAAGAGACCTTGCTGTTGTTGTTGGTGATGGGCAGCGGCCGCTGCACTTATCAAATGATCTTGACTAGTCCATTTGGGTGTCAGAGCCCAATTGCCATTCCAACGAGTCTTACATATGGAATTTATGCCGAAGTCGGTTAGTTCACTACAGTTTAAGTTGCTGGCAAATTCCTGAAAAGCGAAATACAAAATAAATTATAGTAACCCGTCCGTGAAAATCGTACACGCATTTGTGTCAAACTTACCTGTAATGCTGGATCGTGAACATTGTGTATGACATGGAAGAATTCATCCATTTCCACTTCAATGTCATACATTTCATCACGCATACCCTCCTCGACTTGCTGATCGTCATTACCACCGCCACCAACAACTTGATGATTTTGGTGACCCTGGCCATTTGAAACACTCATGTTGGCTGCAGAATTGGCAAATTGTTCCAACGTTTCAGCATCCATGGCAGATGTGTAAACCAATTCACCACCACTTTGGCCGGAATTTCCAGCCTCCATATCGCCGCCACCGGCCTCATTTACTTGCTGCAAAATATCTCCGCCACCACTAGTAGTTTCATCCTGTGCTACAGTTGTAACATCGCCTATTTGCTGTTTGACAGCAGCCAAATGTTGTTGCAAGGCATTACTCAAGGCTGTATTGCCGGAAAATTTCAAATTCATATTTTGTGGGAATACGGTAAGAACATCATTGCCGCCGCCGGATGCTCCTCCTGTTGTACCTGCTGCACCAATTTCTTGACGCAAATCAGTAAAGGCTTGTGATAAATCACCTGGCTTCAGAGTGGCATTCGATAGGATGAGATTTTCCAAACGTTGAGAAATTGGTTTGATGAATTTGGAGGGTGATTTGTTGTTGTAGTCTTGTAGGGTGGCTGCAACTTTCATATCTTCAGTCAAATGTTGTTGTTGTTCGACATCAGAGTTTGTCTCGTCCTCGGGCAGACATTCTTCAGAGGCTAAGGAATGATCATCAAATGAACTGCGACGATCAGACTGCTGCTGTTGTTCATTTGCAGTTGATGCTGCAGCGGCTGCAGCAGCTGCGGCCGCCGCTTCCTGTTGTTGTTGAGCCAACTTTTCTTTCTTTGATAATTTCCTTTGTTTCTTGCTTTGGGTCTGACCACCGCTGGTAGCAGTGTTGGAGGATTCCTCTTTCGCAACGACATCATGTTGCTGCTGATCAACATTCACAGCAGCTGCTTGGGCGGCAGCCGTGCAAAGAGTTGCCAAATTTTTCATTTCATTACTGGTATCTGTCATTTCATGCGCTTCCAAAGCATTAGCGCCCGATTCCATACTACCGCCGCCAGCACCAATTTCCATAATTTGTTGTTGTTGTTGCTGTTTATCTGGTGGTGTTTCAGTTGGTGATTTTGGTTGTTTATGTTGGAATATACGCTGGCGTAGGTCAACAATTTGCCAACCTTCCTGCAGCTTCTTCAAACATTCCTGCTGTTCAGCCTGATTGAGGCCACATGCCTTGGCGACGGCTGCTGCAGCAGCTGCGGCATTGGCTTTATTAAAGGCATTCAAAGATTCGGTGACGGCCAACTTCGAGTCAGATAAAGCCGCATCAAGAGCATCTTGAATTTCTTGAGCGGTTTGCTCATTATCAGGTTGCTGCTGCTGTTGTTGCTGTTGCAGAACTTGATTTTGTTGAGCCTGTTCCGCTGATTGAAGTTCCATTAATTGTTGCAACTGTTGCTGCTGAGGATTGTACAAGGCCACCGAACCAGATGAAGGAGAAGCTAAAGGTGATGCTGGTGAATTACTTAAAGCAATAACACCTTGCTGGGAAACATCCAAAGATATTTGTGATTGTTGCTGCTGCTGATGTTGTTGAGCAGCAAACACCATATGATTCATGATGGCATGCTGGGTTTGTATGCTTGGAGTCGATTCGTTCGTAATTAACATGGGCTAATTGGAAAGAAAATGAAAAAAAAAAACAACAAATATATAATAGATATGGTCCTTAGTATGGTCTTCAAATTAATTTGAATGGAATTATTCTAAATCAATCTATATACAAATTATATAGAATTTGCCTTCATTCTAGGCAAACTCAAATATATGAGATTTCGGGGTATCCATAATATATGGTATGGGATGCCATACATTCTAGGCTACTTACCAAGTTATTGTAGATGGATACCATTTGATTTTGTCTAAATAATGGCTGCTGTTGTTGAGCCTGCTGTATGGCTGTACTTGTGGCTGAAGTTGCTGCAACCGAACTGCTGCTGCTGGGCACCACTGTGGATTGTGTACAGGTTTTACGCAACATTTTACCATCCTTTTTCGACACTGGCTTTGCCTTGGGTCGGTCACTAATAGCTGTGCTTTGCGATACTTCAGATGGTGTGGTAATACCACCAGTTTTTTGTGTTGCCTTACCACCGGCCACAATACGCTGCTGCTGTTGTTGTTGCTGGTGCTGTTGTTGCATTGCATGCTGTTGCTGCTGCTGTAAAGCTGCTGCAGCTTGCTGTTGCTGAGGCGTGGGTGCTGGTCCCAAAACAAATTGTGTTCCCTGTGGCAATGTTGTGGCCAATGTCAAGGGTGTTTGAGGATTATTGGGATCGAACAGTTCCTGCATCATTAAAGCTTGATTGGGTGCAAAATTCAATGGTTCTGGACTTGCTATGATGACCGGTTGCATTTCCGAACCATCGCCCAATGTACCGGGAGCAACTGAGGGAAGTAAAGAGATGGTTATTATTATTTTTTTAGATTTAAAGATATGACAAAATCCTTCATTGGGAAAAATTATAATGAAGATTTGCCAGGAATAACCCAACGCAATGTCTTACCTGCCAATAAATTTTGATTCAAAGCCATTTCATCGGCGCCATCACCCACATTTTGACCAGCAGCATTAACACCAGAACCAGTCATTTCCAAATATGTAGCCGGCAACAAAGTAGCTGCTAGATTTTTCTGGTCATTAGACATCTGAAATTACAACAATAATAATATTTTATTTGTCATTTCTGAATTAATCTTTGCCATATTCTTGTCACAGCTACATACCTTATTAAGATCCTGTCTTAGGACACGACGTCTAATAAAGCGAGCATCATCACTGAAACAGGGAAATTGCAAAATGGGTGGTTGTCGTTGTTGTTGCTGCTGGGATGTTGGCTGCAATTGTTGCTGCTGAGACTTGTTACCCAAGCCATCATCACCCAGCGGTTGGGAACGTTCAACATCTTGCATTTGTTGCTGTTGTTGATGCTGCTGTTCACAGTTGTTAGTGGTAGTAGATGTGGTGGTGGTGGTTGTGGTGTTAGTATTAGCGGCAGTGTTGTTGTTGGCTGTTGGTAGATTTACTTCAAATGGTTGGGGTGGTTGTAGACGATTCTTACGTTGATTTCCTTTTAGCTTAGTTTGCTGTTGCGGCTGCTGCTGTGTAGTTTGCTGTTGACCGGAAGAATGATTGTTGTTTTGTTGCTGTTGTTGAACAGTTGCTGACTGCGATGATTGTTGTTGTTGCTGCTGCTGTTGTTGAAGTACAGGTGGAGCCGGCGGTTGCTTTTGTGGGGGCGTTAAAGGCATTATATGTGACATTTCCAATTCGTACTGTTTACGCTGTTGCAATATATGCTGCTGCTTTTGTGCATCGGTAAGTGGAATTGCTCTTGCCACCTTACCACCACCCCTGGTGCCGGTGGTGCTACTGCCTACATTACCAAAACCAGCTTGCAAATGAAAGAGTCGCGATTTCGCTATAAGTGCCTCTTGCTGTTGGGCACTCAACGAATTGATATCAATGGCTGCATACTCTTCATTACAAGACGCCACTTGATTCACAACATCTTGACTGGATGTTACTCCTGCTCCTCCGCCAGTTGTAGATGTTGCCGCAACAGATGTTGGTGCCGCGACCATTTGCAATTGATCTTCGAAATATTCAACTGATCCACTGGCGGCTTGACCGGCATCACTGTTATAGGCCTGCTGATGGAATATGGGATTAGATGTCCGTACAGCCTCCGATACATCGTGTATGCTGGGTGGTGCACTCAGCTGCTGTAGCTGCAGCTGCAGTTGTTGTTGCAATTGTTTATGTTGCTGGTGTAGCTGCTTTTGTTGTTGCAAATTGATAAGATGCAATTGATTTGCGGCAGCTGCATTTGTGGTGGTGTTATTTATACCCACGGCTGCAGCAGCATTGGCCGCTGCTGCAGCGGCGGCTGCCGATTGCAAATCATTCTGGTGATTTTGTATGAAGTGCGGATATTTAAAGAGCAGTTCCACAACACGAGTATGTCCACCTTTGGCTGCCTCTATTAACATGGTACTGTTATCTTTCAATTTGTGGAAGGGATCAGCGCCACTTTTCAGTAGATACTCGACCACAGCCTGATGGCCACCGGCACATGCCAACGACAAAGGGGTGTGATCGTTACTGCTGGTCTGTTTATTAACATCGGCTCCCTTGGAAATGAGAAATTTCACGGTACACAAATGTCCGGCACGACAGGCTTTCATAAGTGGGGTGCGGCCACCTTCGGACTCATGCTCCAACTCAGCGCCATAGCTTAGCAAAACTTCAGCAGCATCGGTGTGACCATTTTCACAGGCATGTGTCAAAGCAGTGTCTCCAGTCTGTGTCTCAGCGTGGACATTGGCCTTATTTTCCAACAGGAAACGTACCAAATCAGTGTGCCCCTCTTGAGCTGCTTCCATTAGAGGTGTCGATGCACCCAGCTCCAGATTGGCTCCATGTTTAATCAAATATTCGGCCACTTCACTGAAACCACCGCAACAGGCCAATGTTAAGGCAGTCTCTTGGGTTTCCTCAGTGGTAGCATTGATATTTGCACCCTTACTCAGCAATAGGGCAACCATTTCCTCGTGACCTTCTCGGGCAGCTTCCATCAGAGGTGTATAACCTTCGTCATTGACCTCTTCAATGTTGGCTCCGCGTTCAATTAGCAAAGTGGCCAATTCGACATGGCCACCACAAGCTGCCAAGGTGAGAGGTGATTCGAATGAGTCGGTTGGCATGTTAACTTGAGCTCCGGAATCTAAAAGCAGGCGTGCCACCTCAACGTGGCCATCCATAGAGGCTTCCATTAAGGCAGTGTGCATTTCATCGGTTTTGTGTTCTTGATCGGCGCCGGCTTGCAGCAAAAAGCGTACCATATTCAGGTGGCCTTTGTAGCAGGCCAGTGTCAGGGCACTCTCTTTGAATTCATTTGAATGGGTATTAATACCGGCACCATGTTCCAATAAAACCTGTGTCAAGACATAATATTATTAAAAATAGCAAACGACAGAAACACAAGATAAATTTCAAATTTTCTAAACATCAAATAAGATCAAAGGATGTCATTAACTTTCTGGGCATTTATAACATGATGATCTCATTTCGGGCATCAGATTAGTAACTCAATCTTCTTAGTGATGCCCTAGATGATATCGGTTATAATTCAAAAAGTTTCAAATCTCGGATTGTCATCATTTGTAAAAAAAATCTTTTGTGGTTTTCTTTTTTTTTATTTTTTAACTTACCTTAGCTACTTCCACATGTCCAGCTGAAGCTGCCTCCATTAATGGCGTATGACCATTCTCGTTTTGTTCTTCAACATTGGCACCATGCTTTAGCAGTTCTTTGACAACTTCAACATGACCACCAGCGCAGGCAAACATAAGCGGGGTATTGCCAGTGGCACAATGAGCATTGACATCTGCATTGTGACTTAACAATAGTTTAACAATCTCCAAATGACCAGCAGAGGCAGCCTCCATTAAAGGAGTACAATCTTTCTGGCCCTTGTCTTCGACTTGTGCTGCAGACATGGCCAAAAGAACCTAAATGAAATCAAAAGATGATAAGAGGTGTTGAGTGTCGAAATTACTTCTTTTTTGTATCATTCCGTACCTGTGCCAATTCATAGTAACCAGCTGAGCAGGCCATCGAAAGCAAGGATTCACCATCATCGGTTGATTCGTTAATATTGACATTACCCTTGCCAAGTAAACTGCGCACAGTATTGACATCGTTATCGTTGCAAGCGGCAATTAATGTACGGGAGAACATCCTGAAAGAATAAATGAAGAAAATTATAATTGAATACTTGAATAATTAGTTGGGTAAATGGAACATTTGTAACAATGATCATTTCATAATCAAAGACGGACGATAATATATATATATATATATAAATCTGAACCGATTTCAATGAAACTTGACAGAGATTAGTTTATATTAATTTCAATAAATTGTACGAAATTTGTGCAAACGGAAAAACTTTGGGTCTTTAGAGTACAACTTACATAAAATTGAAGAAAGTATATATGGGAGCTATATCTAAATCTTAACCGATTTTCAGGAAACTTAACACACATCATTCTAGACTTAAATCAGTACGCTATGCCAAATTTCGTGCAAATCGAAAAATATATAGGGTCTTTAGTACACCATTTACATAAAATCGGAAGAAAATATATATGGGAGCTATATCTAAATCTTAACCGATTTTCACGAAACTTGGCACACATCATTCTACACTCAATTCAGTACGCTATGCCAAATTTCGTACACATCAAAAGATATATAAGGATTTGGTGGACCATTTACATGAAATCGGATGAAAATATAAATGGGAGCTATAACTAAATCTGAACCGTTTTTCAGGAAATTAATTACACATCATTCTAGACTGAATTCAGTACGTTATGCCAAATTTCGTGCAAATCGAAAGATATATAGGGATTTGGTTGACCATTTACATAAAATCGGATGAAAATATATATGGAAGCTATATCTAAATCTGAACCGATTTTTACGAAACTTAATACACATCATTTTAGGTTCAATTCAGTACGCTATGCCAAATTCCGTGCAAATCCAAAGATATATAGGGATTTTAATGCACCATTCACACAAAATCGGACGAAAAATTGTGTGGGCGCTATGTCTAAATCTAAATCGATTTTCACGAAACTTAACACACATCACTATATACTCATTTCAGTACGTTATGCCAAATTTCGTGCAAATTGTGCACCATTTACATTAAATGGGAAGAATATATATATGGGAGCTATATCTAAATCTGAACCGATTTTCATGAAACTTAACACACATAATTTTAGGCTCAATTCAGTACGCTATGCCAAATTTCGTGCAAATCGAAAGTTATATATAGGGCTTTAGTGCACCATTTACATAAAATCGGATGAATATATATATATATATATATATAGGGGAGAGGGGGCACCTTTGCTTTTTGCTTTCAAGCCTTATAAATTTTTTTATTTTATAATTTTTGGTTTATTATAAATTTTAACTAATAGGTACACATGTAACCTTTAAAATGAATATACATATGGCATACTTTAAGCTTGATAAATATATTTTATTACTGTTTTAATGGACGAACTCAAAGTGTTCAAAACTGTGAGGGGGGCAATTTGTTGGCATTTTTGAAAAAAATGGTTTTTTACAGTGTTCATGTTCAAATATGTATGTTTTTTATTCATACATATCAGAATTGCATTAATTCATAAAAAATATATAAAAAAGTTCAAAATTTAAAAAATTTAGATCAAAAGTTATTAAAACATAAAATGACTTAAAAACAAAAATTAATATGGTGAAAAATACAGTTAATTTCGTAATTTTATTAGCCCATTTGAAATTTTGAGAAATCGAATCCAAAAGTTAAAAACTCCTTTTTTTACTCGAGTTTAATGGGCATGTTCAAAGGTGCCCCACCATTGCATTTTACGGAAATTTAAAATAACTTTTTTTGTAATAAATATATATGAAAGAAATTACATTAGTTATGTTTGAAATGATTGTTGGAATGCAAAAAAATTGTTTGACGAAAGAAAACTATCACAGAATTCTTCCTGCTCCCTTACAACCAAATGAACAAAAGTTTACAATGACACTGAGAAAACATGGTCACCCATGCACAATTTTTTGATAACTGAAAAAGCAAGCCAAAATGGTTTACGCATATAGAGAACAAGATTGCCATATACAAAAATGTGGTTGCGGGTCGGAAAAATATTAAACCAAGATTTTATGATGTTCAAAGGTACGTTCAATATATATTAATTTGATATATTTCGGGGAGTAGTTTTGAAAAAGTTTGTTTTCCGAATGTGTATTCCCACCAAACCGATTCTTCTTCACATAATAATTTTTTGTTTAATAAAATAGCAATTCAAATCTAATCTGTGGTGTATATTCACGATTACAAACTATTGTTTATAGTTGTTTGTTTTATTGTCTCACACAACGAAAACAACAACAAATGGGGTTTTAAAATAATATATATATATATATATATATATTGTACTTTTGTGATTGTGTTAATTACACTGTGCTACAAAATAACAAAAAAATTTTTTTCAGGGGTTCTAATGTACCAATTATGTTTAGTTGGAGTCCCTGGATCACGAAAATACCTTTGGTTTTTCTGGGTCACTTCGAAAATTAATTTTATAACGGTAAATATATGGTTTCATGGATTTTCCATTTGAAACTTGAATAACTTATTTGCTTTATAACGGATTTATATTATTCTTTTTTTCTTTGGAAGAGTACAATTTTTCCTTTCAAACAAGATATATATTTATATATATATATATATATATTACAGCGGTTGAAATGTGAAAAAATACGCATAAAATGACAAAATTTATTTTTCTTCGGACTGTACGATGAAATTATGATATTAAGCCATATAATTTTTATTATATTACGGGGAAGAAAATTAAGTTAGCTTTCGAAAATGATAAAAATCAAAAAAATCGGTTAAAAAATGGATGACTTATACACATTTTTGTATTGAATCTATGCATATTCTCTAAAGGAAATATGGGTCTGTATCGTTTCCTGTTACAAACCGTTATGCGTATAAGAATAATATAAATCCGTTATAAAGTAAATAAGTTATTCAAGTTTCAAATGGAAAATCCATGAAACCAATATTTACCGTTATAAAATTAATTTTCGAATATATAATATATATATATTGGTACATTAGAACCCCTGAAAAATTTTCGTGTCGCACAGTGTTATTAATAATATATAAATATGTACTTACGTCTTATCACTACTAGCCCCTCGCATTTTTGTTAAAGCCTGTTTGGTTTCATCGATTGCATGGGTGGCATGTCGTAAAACGGGAGCTTTGTCATTTGCTAAAAAAAAAAATTCCATTAGAATTAGAATCTTAAAATTATAAAGGAAAAAATCACAACTTACCGGCAGCTTCAAAGAGGGCATTTAAATTACGATTACGATCGATTGTTGTGTCAAGCAGGAAATCACCACTGACTTCATTGGGATCTTGAATTTCTTCATCCTCATCTTCGTCGTCGATTTCCTCCTCTTCATCCTCATCGTCGTCTTCGTCATCTTCATCATCGTCCTCATTTTCATCTTCATCATCCTCTTCGTCCTCGTCGTCTTCCTCATCTTCATCCTCGTCATCACCATCATCTTCCTCATCGTGACCTTCGGCATCATGGCCACAGGAATCGGGATCGGATTCGGGAATATCATCCTATAAAGAAATGAAAAAAAAAAAAACAAATGTTCATTATATTACAAAATTAATTTAATATTTTGTCTCTACAATTTGATTTTGTTTTTAGAGAAGATTTAAGCAAAAATGATTAAACTCTTTATAAAAAACGTAAAACAATTTAAGCCAAATTATAATTAGTTAACAAAAGAAAACCAAACTCTTTGGAAATTATTATAATATTAAAAAAAAACTAAATTATAAAAATAAAAACAAATGAATAATAAACAAGAAGAAGAAGATCATGTTGTCTAAGGCCAGCACAAAATCAGTTAATCACTTCGTTTTCTTCATTTGATGGTAGTAGGAGTAGTTGTTGGGTATTATAATTATTTCATTATTTATTTATTTTGTTGATACAACATTTTGTTGGAGTCCACACACTAAAAGCTACATACTTTTGCAATTATTATTGAAAACAAAAAAACTAAAGCTTTTCACAATTGTGCCAAAACTATTTAATTTCTGAATTGTTATATTAGATTTTTATGCATTTTTTAAAACGAAGAAAATGACATTTTAGCAACCCTATTATTTCAATCAAAAAAACCTTGCCAATATAAATTTGCAACAAAAAAGGTTGATTTTGGAAAAAAGCTTTATTTAGTCATATTGTATTAGTTGTATTATTAGAGGAAATAAAAAATATTATTTCATTAATATTGTTTAATTGTTGGGTAATTTAAAAAAAGAAGATTTTTCTTTTTTATAAAAAAATCAATAGTAAGTAAAACGCAAAAAATGCATAAAAACGACGCAACTTACCAATAAATCTGGCCTTAGACACAAGCATGCCAAAAGGATCTACAAAAAGAAAATGGAAAAAAGAAAAGAATAAAATAATAAATTTGAACATAAAAATCATAAATAACAACAACTATTGCTTCTTCAAATACGTCTGGCTAAATGAATAAAAAAACATGAAAAACAATAGGACAAAAACAATAACAGCGACGAAACCACTCAACAATTCAAAACAATTTATAAAAAAAAAATAAATATAAAAAAGCAACCAAAAAGTAGTTACAAAGTTATTGAACAATATAATAATTATTTATAAAATATACATATTTATATAACTATTACATAACAATACAAACTACAGGTTATGATATTGGAAGAAGGAATGAATGGTATTTAATTTACGTTTTTATTATTTCCAAATTTTAAGAAATTCGAATACATAACACTGTAAGTCGAATTCTATTGGAATTATATATAGAACGGAGACGAAGTGTATATGGTAGATATGTATTTTTATAGTCGAATCTAGCAATAAAATTGGTAACAGCCTGGAAAATATAGAAACTATAAACTCGATTCTAAAGGCGCGTTTAGACTATAGCCTTTATCGTGATAAAGTGCATTATCTCGATTTAATTGCTAATTCGAGTTGAATTTACCTCGATTTAACATACAAAATTAAGGCTACGTTTAGACTACTCCATCGTCACGTTAATCCAGTTGATTACATTTGACGTATACGCTATGGAATTGGCATTTAAAATCGAGTACATTTCGTAACTCTAAAAGTACCTTAAATCCGCTCAATATTATATCGATTTGCTCTAAATCCTATGCTAAATTGAGATTATTTCAAATACAACCCTGCTTTTGTCCCAAAAAAATAGTAATAATAATAGTTTATCCTTAAAGTATGCTGAAAAATTGTTAATATTCAAAATAATTGCCCGATAAAAAAGTGTCAAGTGTTGAAAATGTATTATTTATGTATAATTTAGAACGACAAAGTCTTTTTATGTATTTTTGACATAAAAGAAAACAGTTTCTAATAAAAATATTAAAATATTGATTTAAACATTACCGCAGACATCATGAACGCAAGGAAATGTGTTTGTGTACGTAAACAAATAACAGCTGACAAATCAACATCATTTCATTACAATACTTCTAAAAAGTTATGGTTTGATATCCCGATTTACAAATTAAGTCCATTTAGAGGCATTGTTTAAACACGCCTTAAATATATAAAAATATGTATCAACAACATTTTATCTCGAATTCCACCTTTCCTAAGTGTAACCGCCATTCTAAATGAAGTGGAAGAACTCGAATTTAAAAAATTTAGAAATTGGCATAAATCGTGTGTTAATATTTAATTTTTAATAAATGATTTTGCAAATAATAAAATAATAAATCAATTTAATGTTCCCCATATTGTAATAGTAAAACGAATTTTTATTAAATTTGACACTGAGTTCCCAATCAAAACCTTAAAAATATTAATCGGAGACCCGTGAAGAATATTTAATATTCAATAAAGTATATTTAATCTATTTTGGATCCCGACCGAATTATTTTTGTTATATGTATTATTATATTATATGTATTTGTTATATTTATCATAATTCAACATCAAATTTGCAGAACGATTTGTCTTTTTATACAAAATAATGTTAAAAATTTTATTATTTACTAAACTAATTTTTCCTAGTAAGAATCCGTAAATTATCAATAACATAAATTACTTAAAGTATATTGACATATACGATTTTAAATCGACCCGATTAACGAAATCCAAAAATACACCCTAATTGTTTACACATACCCCCCATGGCACAATAAATAGGTAGTCCCATGGCCTATAAATAAGGTCACCAAGGGAGACCAGCTGATTATCGATACCTCTCAAGTTTGCTGTCAAAATGCATTATTGTGAATTGACGTACATTATGAAAACGTAAACAAAGTCGAAATTTTTGACATTAGACTTGAGAAAAAACAGCTGTTTTCCGATTTCGATTGCTATCTTGGTGACCTTATTAATAGATCTTGGGTAGTCCATTAGCGCACCTGATGTCTCGATTAACTGTCAAAGTGCCTAATTTCTACTTGAATTCGATGTGCAATGTTACCAACCATGTGAAATATGGAAAAAATCTCGATTACCTGCCAAAATTTTGCATATTTCAAATGGTTGGCAACACTACACATCTAATTCAAGAAGAAATTACCCACATTGATAGTTAATCAAGACATCAGATGCGCTAAATGGACTACCTATTCATTGTGCCATGGTCGAGGCAAAACCAAAGGTTTTTGTTTTGATACATCACCTTATTATTGCATCATGCACATACCTTTGATCATGATCTAAATGCCGATAAGCTGATGTTTTTAGTATACATATAAAATTATTAATTTGCGCCAAAAATATGTGTTTGCAATTTGAAAATAATGAAAAAAGAATTACAACAATGGAAATGTTTTTGCGTTGCTGTGATCGTTTGGAAAGTAAAATAAAACAAAAATTCTAAAAATAACTTTTATTTTCCTTCGATCTTTCATTTTTATATTTGGCAACCGTTTAATTATGATTTCGATCAAGATTAAAAATAAACCCTGCCTCACGATGATATAAATTTGTATGATAAATCGTGGTGAAATAAGCCAGATTAAGAAAATAAACCCGAAATCAGCCTTTAATCATGATTAAATGTTATATGTAACTTCCCTTTTAAAATAGGCTTTTTATGAAACAAAATTATATGTAAACATTGACAATCATAAAGGTTTGCTAGTGTGTAGCATACTTCAATAGCCGTTGCTTGACGTTTATATGCATGCGAGAGAGATAATATGTTTCTTCTTTTCTTCTATTTTGTATATTATTAATTAATTATTTTTGTGTATCAAATTTGCTTTAAAATTTCCTTTATTTATGTAAATGCATTAATTTATAAAAAAAAAGTTTAATAATTTATTTATTCATCATCGTATGGCAACTCTACTAATAAAGAATACTAAAAGAATCAACGAGAGAGAGAGAGCGCGAGAGAGGCCACACACTTAGGAGAGAAACATGTGTTCAAAGCAAACACACACTCATTCACACTGGCCATCATGTCAAAGCACAAAAACACTTGACAAAATATTTGTCATCAACAGAGGAGAAGGAGGAGTAGTAGTAGATAATAATTTTATGCTATTTTCTTTTTTCAATTTCATTTTTTGTTTTGCACTGCATAAACATATTAAAAAAAACGTACACACAGAGGAGAATACCGACAAAATGAGGGATTTGCAAAGGCCATGACATGTATTATAAAAAGAGAACGACCATTGGCACAATGTACGTACGACGTATGAAAAATAATGCCAGCAACCTATTACAAAAGCGTGTATCTGTCAATGACGGCAGCAAAACCCAAGTAATAATTTGATTGATAATTTTTAAAGTTAAAGTATTATGATAAATATAACCAAAATGAATTAGCTATGGTATATATAAACATTAAGAGAAAAGCTGCTAGGTAATAAATACAAAGAAATACAAAATCTTAATAATGTACGTACAACTTATGGAAAAAAAAGACCAGCAACCTATTACAAAAGCGTGTATCTGTCAATGGCGGCAGCAAAATTCAAATAATAATTTGATTGATCATTTTTTTAGTTATGATGAATATAACCAAAATGTATTAGCTATGGTATATATAAATTAAGAAAAAGGTACTAGATAATAAATACAAAGATATACATATATAAACGAATAACAAATTTTTCACAAAATTCGAGAAGCTATGGAGCAGAATTTTACAAAAATTACAGAAATTAATGACTATCTTGTCTCCGCCGCCTGTGCCAGAAAACTATCACAGAGTAGAAATAAAAATAAAATTCGAAAAAACAACAAAACGAAACAAATATGACGACCAAAAGGAATACATGCAAACAAATTATTATACGAAATGACGACTATACCAAATGACAACGAACTACGACTTTGTTTGTTGGTTTTGAAATGTACAAAGAAAAAAACCCCAAAACAAAGCAAAAAACCAGACGACAAGGGATACACAACAACACAATAATGATCATAAAACTAGCAATAAAACATGAAGAATATTTAAATACGTATTTCAACAGAATTTTTTTGTGATTGAAATACTCTAAGTACATACAATTAAATATATAAAAGTAATGTAAACAATTTTCAAATGAGTTATTTTGTTTCAAATGCAATTAAATTTTATACAAGAAATAAAAAAAGGACTCTGATTTCCTTTGTTCCACGACGATACAAAATAAATGCCATTATTTCATGAATTACGGTTTGGTAATTCGAGGTTAGACTATGGCTACGTTTAGACTACTAAATCCACTCGATCTCAAATGTCAATTCCATTGCGTATACGTCAGGTTAAAGTACATTTACATATACGATTTTAAATCGACTCGATTAACGAAATCCAGAAACACGCCCTTATACACATACCTTTAATCATGATCTAATGTCGATCAGTTGATATTTGTTAGCATACATACAAAATTATGAAGTGTAAACATATTATCTTTCTCGTATGCATATAAAACGTCAAGCAACGGCTATGGAAGTATGCTACACACTAGCAAACCTTTTATGATTGTCAATGTTTACATATATTTTTTTTTTTAATATAAGTCATTTATTTTACCGATTCTTAAAGTACATTTACATATACGATTTTAAATCGACTCGATTAACGAAATCCAGAAACACGCCCTTATTGTTTACAAATACCTTTAATCATGATCTAAATGCCGATCAGCTGATGTTTGTTAGTATACATACAAAATTATTAATTTGTGCCAAAAATACTTGTTTGCAATTTGGAATGAAAAGAAAAGCTACAGCAATGGAAATGTATTTATAATTCTTGGAATGTAAAAAAGTCTCCTAAAACACAAAAATTCTATAAATAATTGTTGTTTCCTTAACTTTTTCATTTTTGCATTTGGCAACCCTTTAAATATAAGAACATACGACATGTGAAAACAGTTGCAAATTTTGGTACTCTGTG